CACATAACTAAGCAGGAATACAATGGCAGAGCCTGGTGGCTTTGAGGATATTGTTACAAGTACTTATCCAGCAGGAGATTTCCCTATATACAAAGGGAGGCATCTCAGTAAATCCATGTCAGTGGTCCATAACTCACAGCAGAACTCAGCAGAATGGGATTTATGCAACTCATCTTCAGCATCACTGGTCAAGCAACTTGAGCAATGAGAAAGAACCAGTTTGCAGCAGCCTGAACAGGAAAAGTCTCAGGACAAAATCATTTCTGATCACATCAAATAACATGAACCAAAGTACTTGTACAGAACAAAAGCTGAAATATCTTTCCAAAAATAGAAGCCTTTTAGCTGCTAAAGTCACAGAGTTTCTCCTTCGACTGCTTTACAACTACAAACAAGTTAAACCAACTTTATCTCAGTGACACCTTCCCTTTCACTTTAGAAAGTTCACAAGTAGGAGGATACAAGTTCCTCCTTCCATTTTTTCCCTCTGGTTACTCCAATTCATTTGGAGTAGCACTTCACCACAATCCATAACTGCAATTTGGCAATACTGCTATAAAGTTATTTTCATTTAAGTCTGGCTGCTCATCATCTTAAAAAGGGTCAGAGACAAAAGTAAACATGAAACAACCACTGAATTTCAGTTTTATAAACAAATGATCTTCTTTTCTTCAACAGGAGACAAGCAAGATTTAGGTTAGTGTAGTGAAGTTGGGCTGTTACCCCAATAAATCCTCCATAGTGTCTCTGTAGAGGTTCTGAACAGGGAAATATCATTTAAGTAGAAAGAAAAGATGAATCTTAAAAAAAAAAGGGGGGGGAAAAGGAAAAAACCCATGCAAGAGAGACAACTGTCTTGCAGTTTTGCACAAGAGGAATCACCAGTCAAATGAAACTTTAGATCTGTGCAAAACATGAGAAGTAATCAAATAATCAATCCTGAAGCTTTCAGGTAACCACTAAACAAGTAAGAGCAGCTCTTGCAGACCAGGGGATGTTAATGATGCAACATTTGTAATAATCTTAGAACGTGCACTCAATATCTAAAATAATCCCTGAGTACTCACAGCATAAAATATCGACCCTCTCCAGATCCCAAGGAACAAACTGAATGCTTCAATATTTTGGGACATTTCAATTTCTCACCTACCTCGAGGTAAATATAACCCTCACCCAAACTCCAAGGCTACTCTTGGTACTTCCTACAGGCTGGAACAACGTGACAAGAAGTCAGGAATCTTCAGCATCCAAATTCAGGGCTATCCCGAAGCTACACAAACAGTAAAGCACTCCAGTATCTCAAGTGTTCTATGGACCTGATCATTTTGGGAGCAGTTCTGCAGGACAGCAGACACTGATAAGGGACAGAAAACGACAATATTTAGTCTACATCCAACTCCTGTGCTTGAGTAAACTGGGGGGGGGTTGCTTTGGGTTGGTTGTTGGGGGTTCTTTGCGTTTTACTGAAGGTTTAGAGAAAACATAAGGAGACAAATAGCCTGTGAGCTGGTGCAATAGAGTAACACCTAGAAACCTCTATTCATCAGTGGGAACTGATTTTGTAAGATCTCAAAGCTGTTAGGAAGAAAAATGGGCTAAAGAGGTAATCACTGAACAAAGCAAAGCAGAATGCTGGGAAGGAAACAAAGTCAGTTCCCAGAAACCAAGAACTGGGAATAACCCAGGCCTACCAAGGTAACCTAAAACCACGACTGCTGCTACATCATAAAATCAGTTTTTCCATGCTGTAATTTTTTTTTGTTTCTTACTTTTATAAAACGCAAACCAAATGACAAGAACAAACCAAACCCAAACCAAAAATCATCCAAGGAGTTTTAAGTCAACACACAGCAACACCAGCTGCAATCCCAAAGGGGAGCCTCTCAGGCAACCGAGCTGAGCTGGGCTCTCTGGGACACGCCACGGCCAGGACCACAAGGACAGCTGAGTCAGGGCTGGTGTGAGAACCAGATTCCCACTTCCAGGGATACAAGGACATCCTGCACTCCACAAACACTCAGTATGGAGCACCACATACTCAGTGCTTGGGGAGTGAATCCTGTGTAAGCATCCAGGGATCTCGTGGATCTATGGGCAACTCAAACCATCGCCGTGGCTCCGGGTGGGACACAGCGACCTGCAAAACTCATGGAAAAGACTTGAGAGAGCAAAGCCCAGGTTTAAATGTTATATTTCTGTATTTTCTGGCTTTAGGGTTAAGCCTATCTGGGTATCTGAGCAGTGCCCAGGAAAACAGAGCTGTCCTGACCAGGGCCTCTGGACAGCACAGTAATGTAAATATTGCTGGAGAACAAATGAAACTCAATATAATCCCTCCTCGACTGACAAGACCTGGCATCCAAAGAAAGCAAGGAATGTACAGTGCATTGGTATCAGGGTTCATTTTGGGATACAGAATGCTGCAAATCAACACAAAAGCACAGAATGTCCTCAACACATTTTAGTGAGCCCCTTTAATTAATGCCATGACAATCTGTCCTTAAGCCTCTGTAAATAAATGGCCTTATCTTAAATAGTTACAATTGTATCTTCCTTTTTTTCTTTTTTTTGCTGTTAAAGGCTATTAAAATGTTTATATTGTGGGAGATTATTTCAGAAATCAGGCTTTTTACAGACTTTATTCCTATTAAAGCCTGCCAGGGAGAAGGTAAGTGATGCTAACAAACCTACAGTGCTCAATGAGGAATCAGACTCTCTGAGTGAACAGACTGTCCTACAGTGCAGAAACTCCTCTAAAGTCTGGGCATTCCATAGGGGAATTTGTGTTTTGCTGAGTTCCTGAATCAAATAATAACTTGAGATTACTGCTTCTTCTCAGGAAATAACTTCAAGAGCAGGGAATTTACTGGGTTTTGTACTTAGGTCAAATGCTGAAAATAAAGATGCTGCAAGAGAAGAAAATATATATACACCAAAAAAACCCAACATTGCTGATTCTGTCCATAAAATATTGCCTGGTTCTCATGCCTAAGCATTATGTTTTATATATATATATATATATGCTTAACAGACCTTTGGCCACAAAATATGATTTTCAAACAACAGGTTTCCAGTTCAAGACCTAAGGCAGCCCCTGAGTGCCACAGAACCAGGGCCACTGACTGCCTGGGCCAAAACCAGGCCTAAGGAGCTGGAGGCTTCCCAGGACATAACCCTGGGCCTACACAGAGGTCACTGCTGGATAAAGTCACCTCTGCCCACTGTTAGGGGGTGTGGGTTAATAGTCCAGCAGTTTGAAGGGGGATTGATATGCTTATAATGAAAAGATGCCTGTCTGTTTGCAGAGTTGTTCAGTTCCACCCTCCTGCCACCCATCGCTTGGGAACTTCTGGGGAAGAAAACAGGAGCTTCCCACGTGTCCCTTTCCAAACAGCACGTTGAGAGCTGTCAATTCACTCCCCAAGTGACCTGTCACAGAGCTGCTACCGAGTCACATTTCGTAAATATTAGGGCAAACAAAGGCAAAAGCCGGTATGTGGCCAGGGAAAAATGTTTAGTGTAGCAAGAAATGTCTAAACCAAACAAGATGCTGCTTCCTGGCCCTCTCTGAAAGGCCCGTTAGGGGAGTTTCAGTGCAGGGATGACCCCAAAAGCTCCGTGGGCAGGAAAGGAAACGCTGGCAGTCTGTGGCTCACACATCTCGGGCATGACCTCATTCTTTACTACCACTTTTCACTTCTGCTGCAGTGTTTTAAAAACCAAGGCTTGACATCATTTCTGTATCACGCACCTTTCGTTATGACTTAAGAAACGCAAAGAACTCAACTGGAAGTTATAAAAGAAACCACCCCTCCCTCCCAACTCATTCTCATCCAGTGAGAAGGGAGCACCATCACATGTCTTTGTATCCAAACACACACACCAAATAGTTCTGGTTATTTACAGTGGCTTCTTTCTCTCAAGGGAAGGCCAAACTTAATGGTACCTCAGCAGCATTCCTGAAAATTAACTACACAGCAACAGAACTGCAGAATTTCCCTAATAAACTGGACTTAAAAAGACAAATTTACTCATAAATAGCAATTATCTTATATTATGCAGAATCACTAAGTTATCCATCCCTTAGCTATATATATATATATATAAATATTAAAAAATAACTGTTAAAGTAATTTAAGACACTGTTTTATCTAGAGGGGAATATCTGTCTGCCTCAGTCCCAATTACCTTAAAACAACTGTAAAAATCAACTCACACTGGAATTTCAGATGTTCCTTGAAATACCATATTTAATGTTACAACTTTTTTCTATTTGATCACACCAATCTCCATCAAGTTTAAGCCACGATTACTTATCAATCCAACCAAACCAAGCAAAGTTATCTCTTCCAACAAGCAGCTGTCATTGTATATCATTGATAATTCTGCCTTATTTTGAACCTACTGTTTATAAGCACTTGGTCTATAATATCAATGCATTCCCTGCCTCTCCAGTTGGGAAAGATAAGATATGCATGCTAAATCAAATAAATATCTCCTTCAAAACAAGATATTGGAAGTACAAGCTCAGCCAAACTCAGCAAACGAATTTAACAACCCAACAGTTCTCTGATGTAGACCTCTTAATCTGATTTATTCCAGCCCCTGGGCTCTCCTGAAAGTTACTTTTACACCTACATTTTATACTTTTTAAGTGAAACGCTGGCCATCACTGAATATCACATTTCCCCAGCAAGAAAAAAGGAAAACATTTAATTGCTGTAGTATCTCAGGAAAGAGCAAACATCACATAGAATTGGGCCTCATGAGAGTGAAGACAACTCTACCCAAACCTTGGTGGAGGCAGCCACGCTCTCTGGAACAGGATTTGCAGAGTGCAACCAGAAAAAATGCCATGTTTAAGGTCCCAGACAGTTAAAACTTCCCTCTAATCGCAAACTTCAGCTGGTAAGTTGTTCCAATTCCTCAGCATCCGTACAAATGGTGGGGTTTTGCTCTTTGTTCGTGAGGCAGAGCCCCCTGAGAAGCCGGGAAGGTACCTTGGCTGCCACGGAGCTCAGGTTCCAAAGGGATACGCGAGGCCTACAGGGAATTTCGTGCCCAAAACGCTCCCGGTCGCAGCGGCAGCGGGGGGAACACCTGCTGTATCACCCCTGCGACCCTCCCGGTAACACTCGGGAAGAGGAAACTTCGGGAGGGAGCCAGAGACCACCCCCGGAGCCGAACGCCCGGGGAGCACCTTCCCAGCCGAGCCAGGCTCCTCCAGGAGCCGCTTCCCTCGCAGCTTCGGGAAAATCGGCGCCCGAAAAGCACCTGCACCGCGTACCCAGGCCGGGCACAGGGAGGGGAAGGCAGGATCGCTCCGAGACGCCTTTGCTGCTGCTTAAAAGGGACCCAGCCCA